TCAGCCTTTTGTAAAATATGGAGACTCCTGGGGTCTCTATTAATGATAACTCTTGAAATAGAACGTGAGCGATATTAGGAATTCCATTTTAATCAACTGAATTCTGAATTTCTAATGCTGGCTATTATTATTTTTTTGTAGTCAGGGAAAGGTGTTGAATTGTAGCATATTTTAATGTGCTTAGGATGTTGTCATCTTTGTTCACACCTGAGTAAAGAAGTAGGGATCTCTCCAATCCAAGAAGCAGATCTGAGATTATCTACTATCTTAATGGGTTTGGTGTTTTTTTTTAACCCCCATGCAAACACAATTGGGAGAGACAATCAAAATTTCCCTTTTTTCTTTCCAAGAAAGAATAGGAGAGGAGAGGAGAGGAGAGGAGAGGAGTGGAGTGGAGTGGAATGAAATGGACTGGACTGACAGAACAGAACAGGGAATGGAATGGAAGGGAAGGGAAGGGAAGAGAAGAGAAGAGAAGAGAAGAGAAGAGAAGAGAAGAGAAGAGTCCGGAGCTATAGGATAGGATAGGATAGGATTCTTTATTAGTCAAGTGTGATTAGACACAGAAAGAATTTGTCTCCGGTGCATACGCTCTCTGTGTACATACAAACAATGAAGTGATGTCATATATCACAGTTCAAATCATTAATCATAAGTTACAATAACAAGTAATAAATCATCGATACCAATAGGGGAAGGTATTAGGAAAGATATATTAATTAATAGAGTCTACTACATGAGTAAATACCTTTAGGCCTAAGACAGAAAAAAAAAAGATATTTCCAAGGTAGGGCCTAACACTTCTGTGAACGTACTTAGCAGCCATATGCCCAAATGAGAGAGAGAGAGAGAGAGAGAATTTCAGCAGAGATAACAAATGTGAAGTTTACACTAGGAAAGCGTTGAGGTCTCCCTTTGCTTGCTGTTTTCATTTGCTAATGACTGACGTGCCAAAGTTCCAGACTGCGGCTCTCAAATTGTTCACACTTTTTAGCAGTGTTTGCAAATAGACAAATGGTTTAACAATCTCAGAGCATATCGGCTGGAGCTTCAAGCTGTTTAGTTGGCTTCAAATCTACGCCATTTTCCTGCCTGCTGAACTCACAAAGAGCAAGCAAGCCTCCTCCTTCAGAAGTCTCCATTCTAACTAGCTACAGAAAACTTCACTACCTATCAAAATGTTTTCTCTGGCCAATTTTCCTGTCCCCGATTTCATCCGTATCAGGGAAATAAAATGGCCTCTCATTAGCGCTTATAGAAACACGCATGCAAATCTCAGAAAGCCCATCCATCTCTAAATGTACAAAAATATTCAAAGGCACAACCAGGTCCTATTAAAATAATTGGGTGACTTTTTTAAGCCAATGGGATATATTATCTCCGTTTGGTAAATTATCCTTTTTTCCTCTGTAATTGGCATGCTGTGAACATTTTGCGGCAACATTTGGAGCCCAGGGAGACCTAGACAATTTCTCCCCCTCCCCACCCAAAAAACAGGGGAAAAAAACTGTCTTAATATTAAGTTTCTATCTTCAATTTTATTTACTAGTATCTTGGCATGCAATCTGGTGTAATGTTGATCTTTCTCTCCCATTACAAGTGGACTGATTACAGGTAGTTTTCAACTTGCTTTTATTTGTTTGTCAAAAATGTACAAGATAACAAGTATAAGTATGAATATAAATAGAATAGAATAGAATACCTTTATTGTCATTGCATTCCACGAATACAATGAAATTTGAAAGCTACTCCAGCACAGTGCCCCAAACACCACATCACAATCACACTACAGAGTTATTTAAAATTAAAATAATTATAATAATAATAGGACTAAATCACAAATGCACTGTTTGATTCAAGACAATTACTGCTTTGGAAAAGAAACTGTTTCGCAATCTATTAGTCCTTGTTTTAAGACACCTATTACACCTCCCTGATGGTAATAGATCGAAATATGAGTGTCCAGGATGAGAACAGTCTGTGGAGATTTTTAGTGCTCTAGAGAGGAGTCTGGTCTTCACGATCTCTTCCAAAGAAGAAAGAGAACAACCAATGATTTTTTGTGCTGTATTTATAACTCTCTGGAGCATCTTCTTATCCACTGCAGAGCATCCAACATACCACACCATTACACAGTATGCCAAAATGCTCTTGATGGTAGAACGGTAAAAAGTAACTAGCAACTTCTCACCCAGACCATCCTTTTTCAGCAACCTCAGAAAGTGCAGGCACTGTTGGGCCTTCTTTGCAGTAGCCATAGTAAGGTTGTCGGAAATATGAGTTCCTAAAAATTTAAAACTATGAACTCTTTCCACACAATCTCCATTGATATATAGTGGGAGAGGCTCTGCTTTGCATCTTCTGAAGTCTATGATCAATTCTTTGGTCTTTTTGATGTTCAGGGTGAGGTTATAACTCTTTCACCACGAGACCAGTCTGAGGACCTCTGACCTATAGGCCATCTCGTCTTCTCCTGATATGAGTCCCACCAATGTGATGTTGTCTGCAAATTTTATTATAGAGTTAGTGGGATAAGGAGTGCAGTCGTAGGTGTAGAGTGAATACAAAAGGGGACTCAGTACACAGCCCTGTGGAGAGCTGGTGCTGAGAGCAAGAGTGGAGGAAAAATAGCTGCCAATCCTAATGGTTTGGGGTCTGTTAGTAAGAAAGTCCCTTATCCAACAGCCGATGTGAGAAGAGAGGCCCATTTCCAGTAACTTCTTAATCAGTATATCCGGAATGATGGTATTAAAAGCCGAGCTGTAATCAACGAAAATCAAGAAAACAACAACAAAGGTAAATGAGGACAGTAAGACGGGGACAATAAACACACTGGTGCACTTATGCACACCCCCTTTAAGGACCTCTTAGGAATGGGGTGAGGTCCACAGTAGACAGTTTGAGGTTGAAGCTCTGAGGGGCTGAGACTGTAACGACAGAGTTGGGTAGGGCGTTTCAGGCATTGACCAACCATTCTGTGGCTGAAGTCGTATTTTCTGCAAACAAGTTTGGAGAGGTTTACTTTGAGTTTGTCTTGGTTGTTTGCCCATGTATTGCTATGGTGGAGGCTGAAGAAGTCATTGACAGGTAAGACATTGTCACAGACAATTTTGTGTACTAAGCTTAGATGGAACACAAGCGGCACAGTTCCAGATTATCCAGGCCCAGAATTTCAAGCCTGGAGGCATGGGGAATTCTGTTGTGAGTGGAGGGATAGAGAACTTTTCTCGAGAAATACCTCTGAACCTACTCAATTGTGTTAATATCCGTTATACAGTGCAGGTTCCAGGTGGAGGAGCTGTATTCGAGAATTGGTCTGGCAAAGGTTTTGTATGCCCTGGTTAAACAATTCAATGTTAACTTACAACAGTTCATTTAGTGGTATTACAGTGGCATTGAAAAAGTGCCTTATGACTGTTTTTTCACACTTACGACCAAGGCAACATCCTCACAGTCACGTGATCAAACTTCAATCGCTTAGCAACTGACTCGTACTTATGATGGTTGCAGTGTCCCATGGTCATGTGATCCCCTTTTACAACCTTCTGACAAGCAAAGTCAACAGGGAAGACAGATTCCCTCAACAACCATGTTACTAACTTAACACCTGCAGAGATTTGCTTAACAACTGTGGCAAGGGAAGTGTCATGCCCCTGTTGGAGTCTGATTCCGAGGCGGAGGCCAAGCAGCTGACAGAGAGTGGGAGTGTGGCTCCATTGGCTATGGAAGAAACTGGGGAAGGGCAAAGTCTGGCTGGGCAGAGGAGGGGAGAGGTAGAGCAAGGGAGAGGGAATTCAGAGAAGACCCAGGCCCACCCCTTCTTCATCCTAGGGCACACAGGGAGGAATGGAGAAGGGAGCAATGTGAGTTGCATGGCTTACAGGGGAGGAAAGGGCCCTGATTCCCTTCATTAGCTGCTGCTGGGAACACAATGTTTAAAAAAGGAAGTTACGCACAGCAAACTTGTTGGAAGCAAATTGTGAGTTATCTGTTATTGTCAAGGCTTATCTGTTTTTTTGGCATTTTTCCAACTGTGTGTGTTTTGTTGGCCTTTCAAGTCTGCAAATCTTTATCCTGCCCTGTCAAGTTAATTGCTGCAGTGTGGTTTGTGTGAATTTTTTTGTATGTACTTCGTTTTTGGACTGAATTTCCTCCACTTAAAGACTGTTCTTGGGAGAGTTTTTTCTCCAGCCAAAGGTAACCTGGACATTGGGGGCAAAGTTGGAGGTATTGAAGGGACTCTTCTTACTTATGTGACTGTGTTGCCTTTGTGCCACGCCCCAGGTCATCACAGGAGGTCGTAAAATGGGGCAAAACTCCATTAACCGATGTCTTGCTTAGCAACAGAAATTCTGGACTCAATTCAAATCAAATCAGTATAGATTTGATCTGTTATTCATTATTTTATTCTAGCATTTTTAACTGGATTCCTTGAGTGTTTTTTTTTATTTGTTCTGGTCTCTGGTCTTTGACCTACACTTGATTGGATTGGATTTGACTCAATTGTGTTAATCATAATTTGAGGACTTCCTGCAGTTGTTTCTAGCTATTTCTCTTCCTAAGCAAACGTCCACCTTGCAGCTAAAAAGTAAATACAAACTCTTAAGAGAGCATATATTCAGATATCCTGAACTTGTTTTTCAACTTGTTGCATTTTATTGCTGTATACTAGATTAAAAATTAAGAGGAAATGGTGTGGTTCTAAAAGAGTTCCAAACTATTGCTTTGTGGACAAAAAGAATTTTAATCTTTGTCCCATCAATGCATTCTATGCTTGCAAATTCAGAACTGCTTTTTAACTTTTAACACCGTTATCTAAAGTGGGTGCAAGCATTAAGTTATCATCCCCTTCGAAGTACTCAGTTGCTACTCAGTGTGGTTTGTCTGTTTTCAGTGTTAATCGCATTGGGAAATTTTGCTTTCCTGTACGTTGTCATCTTAAACCCCAAATGCTAAACGTCACTTCTTTTTCTTCTTCTTTCTCTTCTTCCTTTCTGCAGAGAACAGGAGACGCTGCTGGAGATTCTGAAAGGTAACCAACTCTTTATTTTTATTTTTAGTTTAGACAGCAATGCTAATTAAGACTTTGAAAATAGGGCCCTAGATTTGAGTCCTTGAAAAGCTTTGTACTTGCAACTCTGACCTTGCTTGCCAAATCACAGCTAGGAAATCATGAATGGCTTTCAGGAACTCTCTGGATCTGGAGAGGTTTGCATGAAAACAAAACAAAAAAATAGCAAGAGGAAAATCGTTAGAGAAAGCCATGTAATAGGAACATAATTTTAAGACAGAACCAAAATCTGCAATTACAAAGTAAATGAAGATTCATTTTCATTTTCTCTTGACTTTTTGTTAACTGTTTCTGTTTTCAGTGGCTTAATGCCCTAACTGGGACTTGACTTTACTGTGGCTATCATCAACTTTGATCTAATAAAATCTGTATCCCAGATTTAGATTAGATTAGATTAGATTAGATTAGATTAGATTAGATTAGATTACTGGACTAGATTAGAAATGTTTTGCACCAATTGAAATCTATGGCAAGTTTAAATCATGAGTTGTTCTCCGTGGGAACAACTGTTGACTAACTGACTTTGGATCCAAGGTCTACATGGATTTTTTATAATATTCTAAAAATCTCAGCTAGAGCATTTCATCAGGCAATTCACACACGTCAGTTGATTTTATTACTGTACTTGGATGTTTCATATTTTGTGCTGTATTTTATATTTATATAAAATATTTGTTTTAGGCTACTTTTTTCTGGTTTATTATTTGTTTTTCTGTTTTATACCCTTCAGGATATGTTATTTCAGTTAGGTAGCCTTATAGATCAAGTCAGTAAATAAATTTAAATTCTTGAATTTGAATTCCATGCAAATATTATTATAACTTATATCTTTTTTTCATTCTAATGTTTTGGTCAGATTAACACTGTTCCCAATAGTCAGGGGAGAAACATCTTGATGCAGAGAAAAGTTTTTCGGTAAAACTTTTACACACACACATAGGCAGGCACACATACATAGAAAGAGAGAGAGAGCATTGTGATTTCTATTATGTAATAACATATATATCAGAAATTGATTCTATTATGTAACATATATCTATATATCTATATATCTATATATATCTATATATCTGTATCTCTATATATGTGGATCTTTGGTTATTCGGGTTTTGTTTTCTGAGGTTCTCGCGGGTATTTGTATATTTGTGTGTGTGTGTATATATATATATATGTGGCTCTTTGGTTATTCGGATTTTCGTTGCCTAGATACTTCCAATCTTACACGGGAGAAAACCCGAATAACCAAAGATCCACATACAATATATATATATGGCATTCAGCTTTGTTTGGGTATTTTCCCAGGTCATTATAGTTGTGCTTTTAAAGTTGTAGCAAC